CTTTCAAACAGGACTTTGTGGGGGGATGTCGGGTCCTGGGGCTCGGAGCTGCAGGGGGGCGCTAAGGCAGCTCCCTGCCTGTCCTGGCAGCACAAACTGTGCTGTGCCCCAGAAGTGGCCAGCAGCAGGCCCAGCTCCTGGGGGGCAAGAGGGGAGAAGCACACAGGGCTCCATGCCCTGCCCCCCTGTCCCGAGCACTAGCTCTATACTCCCATTGGCTGGGAACAGCTGCTTCTGGGGCACAGCCTGGTCTGCAGGGTGAGGCAGGAAGCTGCCTTAGCCACCCCCCTGCGCCGCTGACCGGGAGCTGCTCAAGGCAAACCCCTCTTGTCCCAACCCTGATCCTCTCCCCAAAGCAGAGCCCCCTGCTGCATCCCAAAGCTCCATCCTCAGCCCAGAGCCCACACTAGTCATTTTCTTCAACTGGGTCATGAGGGAAAAAAAAGTCTGAAAACCACCACTCAGAATGCCCTCCGCCAACACAGGCAGCAGCATGAGCCCCGAAGCAAGCAGCCCTGGTGCAGCAGGAGGCTGTTCTGTTTCAGCACTGCTCTCCTTGAGGACTCAGGAGCCTGCCTGTTTAAGCAGGCAGAGGACACTGCACTGGAGTCAGACAACCTGTGGAACTCCTTGCCAGAGGAGGCTGTGAAGGCTAGGACTATAACAGAGTTTATAGATAATTTCCTGGAGGTTAGGTCCATAAAAGGCTATTAGCCAGGGGACAGAATTGGTGTCCCTGGCCTCTGTTTGTCAGAGGCTGGAGAAGGAGGCAGGAGACAAATTGCTTGATCACTGTCTTCGGTCCACCCTCTCTGGGGCACCTGGTGCTGGCCACTGTCAGCAGACAGGATACTGGGCTAGATGGCCCTTTGGTCCGACCCAGTACGGCCATTCTTATAGCCCACCCAGGCAGGAGGAATTTACACCCCATTCAGCTAAGGTCTCAGCTGTTGGTTACCAGTTTGTGGCAGCTGCCCGGCAATTGAAACACCAAGAGGCATCGAAGGCCTTAGGCTGTGAAGGGGCTTTGACCTCCCCATTGAGTTCAGCGTAGGGCAGGACACAATGGTCTCCAATTGTCAGTCAATTGGCACCCCAGTTGATCAGTGCACACTATCAAAGGGGTCCTATTGGCTTCCTACCTTCCTCTTCCCTGGAGGTCACATGGCTACATGCTGCCTCAGTGACAGAGCCAGAGGGGGTCCAGGCTAGTAGATTTTGTGCACCAGCCCCACTAGCAGGCTCTCATGGATATCTAGACTGGGTAAAGGACACATGGTCCATTTAAAATGTACCTCCTTATTGTTGCATTTGAATATTAGTCTCCCCCAAAGTTTCAAGAGCCCATCCTGGAACTGAGTGCTAGCCCTAGTGGCTGTGCTAAGCACAGCTGGAACAAACAGGCTATTTCAGAACATGTTGGGTCTTTGACAGCATCTAGTTTAGTCAGTTTCACTTATTGCTCCCTTCTGGCCTGTCACTTTCCCCTTTGGATTTTGTAAGGGGCTCCCGCAACAGGGCAAATAGAAACATTTATGAATGAGAAAGTGCAAGGCCATAAAACAGGGGGGGAACCCAAGGCCGGGGGCTGGCTGAGGCCCTCAACTTGCCTGGATCTGGCCCCCGAGGGTTAGAGCTACCCCCAGCATTGGGGAGCACATGCTGGTGGTGGTCCAGCCCCATGCACCATCCCACCGAGGGGCTGGAGCACAAAAGCCTACTACCCTGGGCCCCCTTTGGCACTGACACAGGACGGAAATGGGAGGGTCTTTCACCTTCTCAGTCAGGGACCACGTCAGTGTGGGATGGTTTTTCTTTTTGCTTCTCACTTGCATGTGGCACCCCCCTCCCCCCACTGATTTTTCTTTGAGTCAGTGACCCCTGACCCCAAAAAAATGGTTCCCCACCCCTGCCATAAAAGCAGCAGGCAGAGCCCCTACCACCTGCTACTTAATTAACTAGATTTTGTTCTGTCTCTTTAAGACTTCCCAGCAGTCTCTGAGTTTAAGCCTAAAATTAAGGCCCTTTTCAGCCGAGAGGGTCTGGAGAGCTGCAAAGTGTACTGTGTAGAGCAGCAGCTCCCTGGCCAGCCGTTTGTAACAAAGTGCTTGGACCAAGGAATCCAAGTGAAACGGATTCAGTTGTTACTCAAGCCCAAGTCATCAGAGGGGAAAAGAAAGTGAAGCGTCGGCGATTCGGATTCAGGAACCTGGGGAGCGAAGCTGCGTTTCTAGGAGGATTTCTAGCCCGCGCTTCGTTTTATTTTGGGGGGGGGGGAAGGGGAGCAGTCGGGCACGTAGACATTTCAGTCTTAACCCCGGCGACTTTGGCCCAAGGCTCACACCCCAGCTGGCTGACCAGCAGCGACAAGTGGTGAAGTTTGGGGTGACTCTGCGGAGTGAGGGTTGTTTTGAGCAGGCCAGGAGCCGGATCCCTTTTTACAGGGATTTCT